AGGTCTGCTGGGTCTTTAGGCCTGGTGTTTTGTCTAAGCCGGTTGGCAGCTTGCGCCAATAACTTTGGTTTAGAAAGGCTCGGACATGGTCCATCAAGTTTCTCAAGAAGGACATATAAAAAAAAAAGGGGAAAAAACTATATGAGCTGGTGTACCACAAAAAAAAAAGAGCTGTCAAAATATTTAATTTAAATCACCCCATAAAAAAAAGCTGGTGCAGGTTTGAACAAATCTTTCATTGCCTAAAAAAATACTGCAACCATGATCTCTGCAGCAGCGGCTGCTTAAAAAAATGTCTGGTGGTTGTGACTGGTGCTGTTGGATTGGAAAAAAAAGCAGCGTTTCATCACTAATGCCTTGCAGGGGTTTAAAAAAAACCTTACCGAACACTGCCAGTAAATGACATTCGCCCAAAAAAACTTAATGCTGTAGGTATATCCATTGCTGTCTATCAAAAAAAATTTGCCCGCTTTGAGTCCTGCTCCACTATCTTGTAAAAAAAAGGGAATTCACCAACTGGACATTCCTGGATGGTGGGAAAAAAAGTCGAGTCTTCTATTGTCCCATCTGAAATTAAAGTAAAAAAAAGAAGTCAATAACTTTTCTGTTAACTCATCTGAATAAAAAAAAAAAAAAGATATTTTTACTATTTTAAATTCCTTGGAAAAAAATTTTGGCTTAATTTGCTCACAATACATGTATATGAAAAAAAATTTTACATACCAATACAGAGAAAGTCAATAACTTTAAAAAAATCATTTAACTTAGCTGAACTGCCACAAAAACAAAAAAAAAAACTTAATTATTTTGTCCACAATACATGTATATGAAAAAAAAAATTCCATACCAACAGCGAGAAAATAAATAATTTGTCGTTTAACTCAGCAGAGTTGCCACACAAAAAACATATTTGTACAAAAAAAAATTCCTTTCAAAAGTGTCTTGATTTGTCCACAATAAAAAAATATGAAATAACATTTACATACCAATACAGAGAAAGAAAAAAACTTTTCATTTTCATTTAACTTAGCTGAATTGCCACAAAAAAAAAAATTTTGTCTTAATTTCCCCTTATAACATCTGAAAAAAAACATACCAACAGAGAGAAAGTCAATAACTTTTCATTAAAAAAATCACTTAGCTGAATTGCCACAAAAACAAAAATTTTAAAAAAATCTGCCCATATAACATATAACATTTTCCATACCAAAAAAAAAAAAGTCAGTAATTTGTCATTTAACTCAGCTGAATTAAAAAAACATATTTGTACCATTTTAAATTCTTTTCAAAAGTTAAAAAAAATTTGCCCACAATATATGAATATGGAATAGTATAACATACCAACAGTGCTGTCCTCAAATTGTTCTTTCAAAAATTGAAAAAAATGCGGTCCCCATGATACCTCAATTGTTGGTGAGTGAAAAAAATCAGAGCTGGTAGACAGTGAATTTTCCAGTCTAGAAAAAAAAGCAACAGGCTCTCCAGGGGTGCTCCACTTTACAGCAAAAAAATCACAATGCCATTCTATTTCTGTGTCAGTCTGAACAAAAAAACGGTATGCTTGTCTTGATATCCCTATTAATGGTAAAAAAAAAAATTTGCTAATTTTCAACTAAGGATTTCCAATTGAAAAAAAAATCCCAGGTCCTGACCAACATAAAAACATGAAAACAAAAAAATAAACAGGTGGCAACAATTACATACCACTATTGCAAAAAAAATGGTTCCACTTTTGACATCCATCACATTGGAGCACAAAAAAATCTACTATCCTTTTCTGTAGTAGCTGAAGGGCATTCTGTTGTTGGTGCCTGGGAGGTTTAAAGAAAAAAGGGTGGCAAAAAAAATAGACCTGCCAGTCCTGAAGAAGCACAGACATTTGAAAAAAAAGAGTATTTCGAATTCCTCCACTTGTTTTTTGCATAAAAAAAGTGTTTCTTATAAAAGGATTACGTCACAGTTTGAAAAAAAAAATTCTTGAATAATTTTTCGACTTTAACTGGAGGACAAAAAAATTAGAGAAATTATTTTAAGCTTGCTCATTGAATAGAAAAAAAGATTTAATATCTGTACTGCCTTCTCCTAGGTTTAGCTCTCTGCCATCCATCATCATCAGTTTCGGAGCCAGAGTAGTCACGGCGGGAAGATCTATCGCGGTCATCGCGGCCGCGATAATAATCTCGATCGTTTCTATCTCTCTCTCTTCTGTCGTCTCTCCGGTCATCTCTTCGTTCTTCTCGATCGTCCCTCCCTCGCTCGTCTCTTCGTTCTCTTGGTCGTTCTCTTCTACCTTCGTCGCGTTGTTGTTCTCGTTGTTTCTCTTGATCTTGTTGTTTCTGTTGTTCTTGCTGTTTCTGCTTTTCTAGTAATTTCTGTTGTTCTTCTTGTTGTCGCTGTTGTTCTCTCTGTTGTTGTAGTTTTTTCTGCCTTTCTTCTCTTTCCTTGGCGCGCTGGGCTCGCTCTTGTTTCTTTTCCTCTTCAGTTTTAGGTGGCGTTGGCTCACTATCGACGTTCGCGCTGAAGAGCAGGAAGGGGCATTGAGGCATGGAATGGTTGTCCGCTAAACAAACGGAACATCTTGGCGAGTCTTTACATTCTTGAGCTCGATGCCCAGGGCATTCACAATTAAAACAACGGACTGCAGAGCAGTCTTTGGCCATGTGGTCAGTAGCTCCACAATTCCGGCAAGCTTTTGGCTGATTTGGGTACCATATTTTAATAGGTTCACCAGCTATGTTGATGTTGGCAGGGATAGTTCGATGTAGCGCCATTCGAGCCGTTCTTACTCCATTCTCGATATGTTGTGCAATTTTGTCGCGCCGAAATGAAAGGACACGACCGTAGTGGCTGAGTCGGCCAATCACGGCAGTGTCGGGTAGTTCAGCGGGGGCTTCATGGATCTTGACGAGGACCAAACGATTTTCGCAGTCGCCCAAGAACACTTTGAGACCGGCAATCACGACAAAAGGTGTTTCAAGAGCGGCTTCTTTAGCTGCACGGCTCTTAAAAGTTTGCTAGGTTCTAGAAAACCTGG